TTTTTAATCACATGTACTATATTTGCAATCCATTCGACATACCTTGTAGTCCTGATGAATTTTCATCTGAGGAACCTTTTGACTTCCTCCTTTATCTTCGATAGGATTTCAGGCGCGAATCTTCTTGGAGTCTTCTTGATGGTCTTCTTTCCATCCTATATAGGCAGCTTCAATTCAACCAGATCTTTCCTCAACCTTGGAATTTCATCATAGTCCCAAGCAAAGCAATCCTTATATTTCTTTAACAGCTGGATCACCTTGTCTTTTATTTTTGGGTTGAGTTTGGCGCTAATGTACGTGGGTCTTTTAATGGGCCCATCTCTCAAATCAACTTCTTCAAGAAGATCTTGCGCTATCATCTTCGCATTTGGTGTTGTTGGATCATTCTCGAATCCCAAAGGCTCTTCGTCATAAATTACATCCAGCCTTTGGTATTTTTCTTCTATGGATTTTATTTCGTCAAGGGGCTCTGGCTTAAAGTTGATCTCAGGTCCCCTTATGTGACTCTCTTTATCAGTGGCTTCGACAACCATGTACTTGACTTCAGCCTCCAAGGCCATCTTTAATTTGTTTTCGGCTAAGTAAGCCAAAATCTTTTTGAAGTAATTTGACTCAACCATCATTACCGTCTTCGTCACTCCAGCCAGTTGGCCGAAGTCTAGGTATTCCTTTACATCATCTTATTCCCCCATTATTTCCATGTCCTGCTGAAAGCCATGGGTTATGTGATACGGTGGGAGAACTGACTTGAGGTTTTTCGTTTGTGTTTATAAATGTTGCGGTTTAGCAAGAGTCGCTGTCGACTTTTCTTTTATCCAAAAGGAAAGGTGAAAAAACACAGGAAAGACCTTTGAGATTATTTCTTGAGTTCGAGGGGTAGATTATGAAAAGGGAAGGTATTAGCACCCTTTTCATCCATGGTTTTCCATGGGCTCTTAGTTACTTGCTAGATCACTTGCTTTTGTTTGAAAATTGTGCTTTTGTGTGGTTTTGAAAGTATTTTGAAAAGGTGCCATCATTTAGGCAAACTTTGCAATGGCTCTCGTTCGTAAGAACGTATGTAAAGTGTTGAGATTTTTGAAAATATTTCAAGTTTTGGAAAGTTGTTTGGAAAGTGTATGTGATTGTTTTGAAAAATAGCAAGGATGTTTGTTTTGAGAATGAGCAAGCAACTAAAAGTAATCTACCTACCCAAAATGGTCTTTAGATGTGTTTTTCCTCCTCCTTTAGATGTTGCTATCTTACCATTGATTTGGTAAGAAGCCCCATCGTTGGATGTGAAGGGATGGGCGTTGGGTCATCGTATGATCATGATAGCAATGTTGTAGGATGACTTAGCATTTTTCTTTAGGGACTAAGATCATTTCGAAAGGCAACTTTGATAGCGTCATCGAGGGACTATGATCTTGTATTTCGATTGTTTTTGCTAAGACACCCCACATGCATAACATGACCATTTTTATAAGGCAACAAGTGGAATTACCTTAGGGGTGTAAGTGTGCGAGTGTTTGATTTGCATGCATTAAATCTTTGATTAGGATTATCTACTTGTTGATTTTTATTTCTTGCCATACACACCTTAATTACTATACAGTATAAGGAAAACAATAATTTGCGGAAAATGAAATTCTATGCTATTACAATATTTAGGGGATGGGGATACATATGTACGAATGGGGATTGCAAAAAAAATAAGCCCTGAATGACTATTACAACCATATTGAAATGCATAAGAATATACAAGAAAATGTGAAACGAATTTGTTTTGTTTTAAGAAAATATTTTTGGTCTTTTGTTTTAAGAAATAAAATAAAGTGTGAAGGAAAAACTTTTGCTGTTTGCTGATTAATGGAATTAAGAGTGATAGCAAAAATAATGAAAAAGGAAAAAAGAAATCAGCATGTCGCTGATAAAATGAAGTAAGAGGTTCTGACCCTGGAACGCTGCAAAAAAGAAACCTGTTAGTGAAAATGTATAAGGTCAGAAGTTATGAACCCATTGGGAACACAGCAGTTTTCAGAAGTTCTGATATTACTGGTAACAAAACAGATTCCAGAAATGCTGGCGCCACTGACAGAACTTGATCTCTCTCTTATGCTAGTCAGAACATCTGTAATTTGGTTATTTCTCCACAAAAACAAAAGACATGTATAGTACAGTTATAGCAAGTCTCATGGTGTTTCAGAAAATAAGAAATATCGGAACTATAAGTCAGAGGCAAGCATATATTTGCTAATCCTAATTCTGAGTTCTAATTTCCTCAAGAAGTTATGAGTTGGTTTATTCCCTACTTAGGCAGACAGATGCATGAAATCTCAGAATATGTACATCATCTGAAACATGATATCTACATTGTATTTTTGAGCATGTAAATCTGGTAATGCTTCAAGTAATGTGATAAGAGTCAGCAGAAGCTTACCTTGCAGCTGAAAAGATTCTATGGGACAGAGGTTGATCCTGAATTCTGGTGAGGTTCAGAGCAACTTCTTCACGTACTCAGCAGGATGGAGGTTCTCAACTTCTGGTACAGAAAAGAGGTGATGTTCTGATTTCTTTGAGTAGATGGATGGAGAATGTGAGGTAGTATGAATACAGAAGTTTAGGCAGTTTCCAACGTGTAGATCAGAAACTGTGTGAACAGTTTTTTAGTCAAGAAATATTTGAGAACAAGTAGAGTTTTGAATACAAGGAATCAAAAGTTACCAAGGTTTTATGTGTTGTGTTTACAGTTCTTGGAACTCTTGGAATTTTGGCAGGGGTTCAAGGCTTTTCTTTCTCAATTTTTTTGATCTCTTCTCAATGGCCAAAGATGTTCTATTTATAGGCAAATATTTTGTAGTTTTGGAGAGGTCAAGTAGCGCCAACATCATACGTTAGATGTTGACTTGTTCTTGAAGCAAGTTCAAAAAAGGGTGTGATAGTTGACAGTTTTTTAGCCTAGACTGGATTAGCAAGCAGGGATTAAGGAAAAGTAAGCCCACAAGCAAAAAGTAATGCATGGAACCTCCCATACTTTTGTATAAAAGTTTGCTTTTAAGGATAACAAGGTAATTTCTATGCCACACGTGGAGAGGTCCTTTGGAAAAAGACTCAAAAGTGGTTGTGAGCATTAATGAGCATTAAATGATGATGAGATTTGTCAAAATCAGAAATCCTGTAATTTGAGATTTTGCATCATTGCTTAATTCTGGATCAAAAGTTCTATCTAGGACAAACATCTAACTTTGGATCTTTGTACTTTGTTGCCTCAACATGTTCTGAAGGATTCCCCAGGATTTCCAGTAACCTTCTTTGATTTATCTTTGAAAATTCTGGATTAGAAGTTCTGCTTCAGCGTAGCATCAAATCTTCTGATCTTCTTGCCTTCTGGCTCCAGCATGTTCTGAAGGAGCTTTCAGGCTTCATATTACGCTTTATTACCTTCTTTGCATTACCCTAGAAAACTCTGACTGAACTTGCGTAGATGCTGAAGAGCCATGTTCTGACTGAAGACTATGTGTTGAACCATGTTTACAACTTCTGACTGTACCTGCCTGGAGGTTGGCTCAGAAGTTCTGAAGTGTCATTTTTCTTAAATACTTTGAAAAAATCCCAAGTATTTAGAAATTTTGCTTTTCCATAGTAAATTTGACTTTGAACTTTTTGATGATACAAACTTCATATTCCAACATGTCTTCTTGAAACTTGGTTTTGGTCTAAAAGTCAAAGTTAGACTTCTCAGCGTACAAATGACCATTTTTCCCTTGTGAATGGTTTGCTTGGAAAAATGATAATTCAAGGCTTGAAATTGTATGAGAGAAAACTTGAGAATCCAGGGTGACTCCTTGAGAAATGAGAGGGCAAATTTTGGGGTACAATAGGTTGGGTGTAGTCTCTACGCCATATAAGGGAATAGACAACTTTTTTTTTCTTAGACAACACTTTAAAGTGTTGCCTATTCCTGCGTTGCTGTAAGTAAAGACATCATTTTTTATCAATTTAAAAGTGCTGCTTAATGTTGCCTTTAGGCACCACTTTATTCAATAAGCGCTCTATAAAGGCGGCTATATGCAGCTCTTTTTACATCAGAAGCGCTTTCATTTTAGACAACGCTTTTAAAAGTGTTATGTAATCTATATTTCTGTTCACTTCTTTTTCTGTTTTAGGCAGCGATTTCTTTAAAAGTACTCTTTAAATTCCCTTTTAGGTAGCTCTTTTTACTTTAGAAGCGCTTTCTAATGCACCTCTTTAGGCAGCGCTTTCTTTAAAAGTGCTTTCTATTCCCCATTATAGACAACGCTTTTTTATTTAAAGCGTTGTCTAATGTTCACAGATTTTTTAATATATACAACTTATATTTTAAGCGCTCTCTATAAATAATCACTTAAAATAAGTGTTGTCTTTTAAATTTGCACCAGATTTCATAAATTTGCAGCTTCAATCCAATAAGTATGCACTAAATTTACATATTTATATATACATCTTTAATCCAATAATTTATAAATACATAAATTTGATACAACTTGAAAATATATATATAGGGTTAAATATAAAAACACCCCCTGTAATATTAGCGAATTCAGGTTTTAGCCCCTCGTAAAGTTTTTGTTTTAATTCCCCCCTTGTGTTATGTATATTTCGTCAGAGCACCCCCACTGGCCAGATGTCATGGAATCTTGAGTGACATATTGAAATATTTGTCACGTCCTATTTCCAATTTAGCCACGTGGCATTTTCATTCAAGCATCAGGGTTTGTAATTTTTTTCCTATTCGTTATACCCCCTTGCCAAATTAGGGTTTATGTGAAGAGTGAGTTGTGAAGACAACGATTCTGTAGGCGACGAAGCAATACGACGATTTTGTAGGCGACAAGGTTGACAACGAAGACGAAGCTTGTAATGTCTAAGGTATGTTGATTTTGAAACTTCAATACAGTTAAAGTGTAATACGGTGGGAATTTTATGATAACTTATTTTGATGCATTCACATGATTTCTAACCTTTTACTGTTACTTTTCACCATGAGGGTGAATTTATTAGGGTTAATGCGAATGAGATTATTTACAGAGGGGGTTGATTCTATTGTAAATGGGCTTGAAGTTACTAAGAAGACGATGGATCGTATTATGAAGTTGGTATGTGGGTGGGGGTATAAGAAGGGGACTTTTTGTTTATGGATGAAAATTTTAGAGATTCAAGAAGGATATATTTTGATAAAAAAGGATGATGATGCATACGATTTTGCATCATTCTTTAGTGCAATGAATATCGTTGGACATTTATTTGTGGAACATTCTCAGGGAGGATTGGATACTGATGATACGGAACCTAACTGTGTCAATGAGGTGAATGAAATGGATGGGTTGGAAGAGGAGATGGTTGAAGGTTTAGATGACAATAAAGATGAGAGAGTTACTGCTCTGCTTGATGGGGGCTACTAAAGCTACATACCAGCAAGCATGATCCCAGAAGATGAATGAATTGAAGAAAGTGGATAAAAATGCTTGGACTTGGTTGATGGAAATCCCTACTAAGAGTTTGTGTAAGCATGCGTTCACTTTTTACCCTAAATGCGATGTTTTGATGAATAACATATATGAATCCTTCAATGCTACAATACTAGCTGCTAGGGATAAACCCATACTGACTATGTGTGAGTGGATAAGGAAATACCTTATAAATAGGTTGTCTACATCTGCCACCAAACTAGAAAAATGGCAACAGAAAGTGATGTCTATACCCAGGAGAAGGTTAGATAATGAAGTATACAACAGTGGACATTGGCTTCCAACATGGTCCATAGCTGAGAAATTCCAAGTCACCCATACTTACAATCACCAAGAGTTTATAGTTAACATAGCTAAAAGGTCACGTGGTTGCAACTTTTGGGATTTAGTGGGAATACTTTTTAGGCATGTTGTGGCAACTTTGAGTTATAGGAAGCAAAACCCAGGTGACTTTGTTGATGAGTGTTACACCAGAGAAAAATTTGCAGTTTGTTATGGATTTTCAATTAGCCCTATCAATGGTCAGGATATGTGGCCAGAAATAGAAATGGAACAAGTTTTACCACCATCGTACAAGAGAGGTCCGGGAAGGCCTAGGAAGGTAAGGATAAGAGAAGTTGGAGAGGAAGGTGCAAGAATAAGAAGACATGGGGTTACATATAAGTTCACAATATGTGACAAGTTTGGGCACAATGCATTGACTTGCAAGTCATTGACACAATATCCCAATTCCCTGAAAAGAAAGGTATAACTGTTTCTCAAAATTCATTATGGTGTGCAAACTTTTTTGTGACTAATCTAACATATTATTAATTATACAGAGGAAAGTTAAAAATTATGGTGAAGCTGAGAGTACAGTTCCAACTGATGCACATAGTGCAGATCAGAATGCTAGGGAGAAATCTGTTCCAACTAATGTATAGAATGCAGATCCAACTGATGGGGAGAAGTTTGTTCCAACTGATGTACAAAATGCAGATCCAACTGATGGGGAGAATTCTGTTCCAACTGATGTACAAAATGCAACTCAGAGTGTTGGGGAGAAGTTTGTTCCAACTCAGAGTGCTGTTGTGGCTAACTCAAAGAAACAGAAAGGAAAGAAGCCAGTTACCAAAAGAAGGCAAAGTGAAAGGATCAAGTTGAGTTTGTTTAATAAACCAATTACAGGCCCAGGATTTAGTGAGCAGCCAATCACCATAACAGAAGTTGGAGAGAAGTCAGGTTCAAAGGACTCCAAACTAGGAGTGAAAACAAGGTTTATGAAGACACGGGGGACCAAAAAAATTAGAGACTAAGTTTTATGTTATCTTTAATAGACCTAAGGGTTTGACATATGCACCAAGTGTGCCTTTTATTTGCTTGTATTATTATTGTGTTTGACATATGCACTAAGTGTGCCTTTTGGCAATGTTGTAATAGACATATGCACCAAGTGTGCCTTTTGGTAATGTTGTAATAGATGTATGCACCAAGTGTGCCTTTTGGTAATGTTGTAACAGACATATACACCTAGTGTGCTTTTGTAACTTTGTTGTCAAAATTTTGTAACTTTGCACCAAGTTATTTCAATTGTCTTGGACATGTTTTGGTGTCAAAATTTTACTTTCAATGAATGTAACTTTGGTGCCATAGACATATTCACTGCCAACAAATGTAACTTTAACTAAATTACACAAAACTTAAAATTTCATTCAACAAAACATGATTTGTCTTACATTGGCCACCAAAAATTAGAGTTTAATTAAACACAAACTTGTCTGACTTACAAACCATGACATACCAAGATCCAATTACAAACCATATCAACTGCTTAAAATACACAACTGCAAAAAACATCCAAGACAGAACAATTGCAGTCATCATCCAAAAATTCTTTATCTTCTCAAATGCAACCTTTCTCTTCAGTTTTTCCACCTTGTTTGATCTTTTCTCGACGATCTACCGCAAATTCTCGCAAATAACCCTTGCTCATGTCACATTCGCAACATCTAGATGAATTCACTTCAGCCTCGCTAACCATGTCGTCCCAGAGAAACAAACCGCAACCGTTATGCATTTTTTCCCAATATTAAAACACAAACAAATGAGAAGGTTAATATAAGAAGAATTACAACCTTATAAACAACTCACCATGGAATTGTTGCATTTCCAAAATTTTCTGCTTGGATTTTCGACAGTGTTAGACACCCATAACTTCATGTTTTCGTTGCAGCCACATCTTGGAAAACTCTTACTTGTTGAAGAACACTTGCTTCCACCCATGATGACTAGACACATGTAGACGACATAAGCTTCAACAGAAAATGAACCCTAACGACTAATCATCTTTGCAACACAGAATTCTCACATAAACCCTAACATTGCAGGGGGGTATAACGAATATAAAACGTAATTAACAATTAGGAAAGTTGATGATTTAATTAAGAATGTCATGTGGATAAATTGGAAATAGGACGTGGCAAATATTTCAACATCTCACTCAAGATTCCATGACATCTGGCCAGTAGGGGTGATCTGAGGGAATCTACATAACACAAGGGGGGAATTAAAAAAAACTTTACGAGGGGCTAAAACCTGAATTCGCTAATATTGCAGGGGGGTGTTTTTATATTTAACGCATATATATATATATATATATATATATATATATATATATATATATATATATATATATATATATATATATATATATATATATATATATATATATATATATATATATATATATATATATATATATATATATATATATATATATATATATATAGTTAAATCTGTTAGTTTTTGGTTCAAAATCCTCATCAACGAAAGTGTCACAATACCTTATAAAATTCTCATCTCAATAATATATTGACACCAATCCTCCTTAATTTCGTCCAATTGATCTTTCGAGTAAGTAGAAGACTTGTATTCATCAAAGTACTATATAATATGACATAATATTATTTAGTTAAAACTAATTAATTAGATGAAATATGCTAAATATTAAACTAAATCATAAGTTAGAAACCCATACCATGGTTGGAACCTCTATTTGATTCAAAAGAATAATTTCTTTCATAAACCTCAACATAAAATAACCACAATCTATACCATTACGCTGACGAGGACACTACACATAGACAAAAATATGAATATATATAAGGACATATAGTTTAACTTGTTTTATCAAGTAGCATCACTAATATAATCAAAATTATGAAAATATACATGCACTCTGATCCATGTAATGTTGTTTTCTTTACTCTTTGGTACTTGAGTATCTCTTTGTGATCGAAAAATTTGTATAACTCTAACAAAATATAAACGAATATTTAGAACAACATCACATAAATAAATAAATAAATATACCAACTGATCTTACCGGATCAGACTTGAACCGTCACAGTTGGCTCGATCTGGATTTGAATGAGATGGGGGGGTACCTGCAAGACACTCTGATGCTAAAATGAGAGACGGAATGGGCAGGAAAAAAGTGTATAGGTGTGTGATAGATGAATACCTGACCCTCTTGGAACAGAGGGTATTTATAGCCTCCAGCGCTGGGCCAAGGTCCCCTCATTAGGCTGACCAGAACTGGCCCAATAAAGAAACTGCCAGGTTCTACGTGTGTAGTGGGGACCCGCACGTGGTCCCCTTCTTGGGTGGTGCTCTGTGAAGAATGAGGAAGGACGAAGACGCGTTCTTTCCGGAGCTTTGAGGATTCCATAACGGTCATAGTGGACAGAATCTGTCCTACGGGGAGGGTGCTCGAGCTGGACTCGAGCTGGAGCTCCCTTGGTCGAGGACGACGGCGGGCATTGCAGCTGTAGTCTGTGGTCAGGCACGTTCGGTGATGGTCAAATTATATGCATTCCCCGGGGAGATGCTTGGATCTGGGCCTTTATTTGTACTTTGGGCCAAGGTAGGCCCAGTCCAGAATAGGAGCCCCCGAAGTCGTTGCTCTTGGTGCAGGAGTTATGACTTGATCTCAACTTGCTTTTACCGCAGGGACCTGATGCCGGGGCCAGGGCTTTGTCTTTCGAAGTATGCTCGAGGGGTTTCTCGCGGGGATACGCGGGCTGCGTCCGTCAGGTACGTGGCGCAGTCCTTGGGAATTATAACGTCACCCTAGCAAATAGGGTCATCATTGCCTATGGGGGTAGGTGTCGGGGACGGGGGAAGTTCGTGCCTCCCCGGTGTGACGTTTCACATTCCACGTCATCCCTATAAATAGGACCCTTGGGCCCATAATTTGTTTTTCCTCTTCACGCTCCTCCCTCTTTCTCTGTTTCCGCTGCTGTCGTTTCCCGTAACACTGTGAGACCGCCGCACCGTTCGCCGTTGATTACTTTCACCGCTGTCGTTCGTACCCCTTTTCTTCCAAGTAAGTGTCCCTTCCTCCTGTTTCTCTGTGTTGTAGATAGTTTTGATGCTATTTTTGATACCAGAAATCCATATTTGGAAGTAATGCCTGGTAGATTCATGACTGTGCCCGAGATACTCATAGTTTAGGGACTTAATTCATGATACTGTCCGTGCTATTCATAGTTTAGGCACATAACTCGTGATATTGCTCGTGATATTCATAGTTTTAGGCGTATAGCTCATGATATTGCCCGTGATATTCATGCGTTTGGTCGGCATATTCATGATCTGGCCGGGATGTTCATCCTTTTAGGAAGTGCGTAGGGTAGTCTCCTCGCGGTATCCTAGTGTCGGGTAGGCGAAGTCAGGAACTTGCTCGAGTGATTCATGATTCTCCTGGGGTGCTCATGTTACGCTCGCGTTGTCCCCGATGCGTGATCAGGGTCGGGGTGTCCGTGGTCGGCTTTTTAATCTGAATCATTGTGCACTCCTTCCCGCCTATGTGGCGAGCACGCGGATTTGCTGTTGAATTCACCGGTTTCCTGTGCTTTGCAGGTAAATGGCCGATAATCCGAAATCCTCGAGGCATAATGACGTTGAGGAAACGAGTACAGAAGAGAACGTTACATTAGTCGACACCATTGATGACCCTACGTTGGACTGGGTGGGCGCCGAGCCCCGGGGGATTGCTTCGGCGTACTGTCGTCGTAGTCGGTGTGCTTATACTATCGTCGAGCATGGCGGTACTCATCCAGGTTTTCAAAAGAATTTTATAATAATGAGGTCGACGATCGACGCCCGTATCTGCTCGGAGTTTACCGAGTACGCATTCCCTATGTACGAGATCGTGTTCGGGGATCTCGGTCTTAAGCTACCCTTTAGTGACTTTCAAGTCGGGGTGTTTAGCCATCTGAACCTGGCCCCTTCGCAGCTTCACCCTAACGCGATCGCCTTCCTTCTGGCGTTCGAGCTGACGTGCCGTTTCTTGAGAATTGGGGCAACGATTCCCCTTTTCTTCAGGGTCTTTCACCTGCAGCGTCAGTCTCGAGAAGGAAGACACAACTGGGTATCCCTAAAACAGTCGAAGAGGCTGTTCAGGATGTATATGGACTCGGTAAGGGATTTCAAGGATAAATGGTATATGCTGCAACTGGTTACCCAAACCTCCCTGGACTCCTTGTTCGAATCGGAAACTGTGGTGGTCGACGCGGACGGGGAGCCCCTCGTGGATGCTGAGGGTAGCCCCGCAGTCGGGCGTATTTCCAAGTTCCGGATCCATTGGTGCTCGGGTCATTACGATCATGGCACCGGGCACTATCATACACTTGCGGGGAGCATGAACGCCGAGGACGAGGAGGCCTATGTTGTCCTTTACAAGTTTGTTGATAGCTTCTTCCCTGCCCGATGGGTTACGAGGGAAGGGGATGACATTCTTGATGAGGACGGGTACCCGATGTTCGAGGCGCGTCCCATCAACACCAAGGCACTCGTTGAGTGCAAATCCTACGGGCATGTCGTAGATATGCTAGGTTTCTTGCTTCTGCTCTTATTGTTTTATTCCATTTTATTATTTTTGCTCGCTTGTAGCTAACCCGGGTTCGCTCCTTTCTGCAGGTCACATGGCTGAACGATGAGAGAGGTTATTGAAGCTAACCCAAGACAAGAAGATAAACAAGAGGCTGGTGAGGGAACCGCAAGCCACAAGGATGGGCCCTCCAGCCAGTTCGGGCGGAGATGCGTCCAGTGGGTCCTCGGGCTCTCCCGATGCCGAGCAACCCACCGAGCTGGTTACCAGGAAGAGGAGTCGGACTAAGGGAAGGTCAGAGACCGGTGACGAGCCTGTCGTTGCGCGGGCTTTCGGCTTACCTCCCTGTTTTGCGGAGAAGGATTTCTTCGAGGGGTTTCCTCTGACAGTGAGTGATAACGAGGCCGAGACTATTAAACGGCTTGACAAAGAAGGCCGGAGGAAACACCTCGCCGCCAGCATGGTCGGGATGGTGAAGATGGTCGAGATGGTTGTTGTCCTTGTCGGGGAAGGTTCGGACTCCTCGGACCGTGTTAGGGAGTTGGAATCAGAGAAAGTTGTTTTTGCTGCCAAATCTCGTAAATTAAAGGCGGTCCTCGAGCGGTCCGAGTAGGGATGGCAAGCAGACCCAAACCCGCGGGCCCCACCCGCACCCGCACCCGAGTCAACGGGTGAAACCCGAATTGACTGGGTTTGGGTTCGGGTTTGGGTGCCACCCGATATTTTGGGTGTGGGTTTGGGATAGCTTAAACCCGCACCCGAAACCCGAAACCACACCCGCTTATATGTTAAATTACAAAACTATCCCGAAATATATATATATATATATATATATATATATATATATATATATATATATATATATATATATATATATATATATATATATATATATATTTCAATAATTAAAAATAAAATGTAGGGTTTATTGTTCAGTAGTCAGTACATCCAGTTCACCCACCGGCCACTGCCATCGTCACGGATTCAACTTTCAAGTTCACGCTCACTTCAGTTCACCCACCGGCCACCGCCATCGTCACCTCCGTCACCTCCGTCACCTTCGTCACCTCCGTCAGACCGTCACCTTAGTTAGTTCGTTTCTCCGTCTCCTTCGCCTCTTCACCAGAGCCTACAAACTCCTTCGTCATCTTCTTCATACAATCCTCTTCTCGCCATTCTCCAAAGGTACATGAATATAAAGCTTATATTCAGAACTTGTCCTTGGTTCTAACTCAAACATCAATTTTAAGGTAATTTGTTTGTTTAGGGTATGTTTGGATTTACTTATCTGAGTTTATTTAGTGACTTAAGTTATACGTTGTTTTCAGAACATTATTTCTAAGCACATCTAAATCCTTCCTCAAGAGTTGTAATTGCTGAAAAAGCAGTAGTTGAGTATGCACCATCTCTGCGTGTTCCAAAGCTGAGTACCAAAAAGGATGGCCGTGAAGGGACTATATGTAAGTGCCCTGGCTGGAGAGTTGGCCTCATTTGTAAAACAAATAAGAAAGCAAGTTTACCCAGATCCCCTCTGTTGTTTTAATATGTGGTGTTGAAGAAGTTCAACATCTGGACCAACATGTTATGTAAGATGTCACAACATCAGCATGTGACATCGCGCCTGAAACTAAGTACTGATTAAGTAACTATGTTATATGTTGAATGTTTGTAACAGCTGTGACTTATAACCTAACTATTCTAAGTGATCTAGGTTATTTGTTGTGTTAAAAAAGTTCAACATCTAGGAAAACATGTTAGATGTAATGTCATGACATCTGACTTGACATCACGACAACAGAATTGATAATTCAGTTACAGTTCTGGTACTTAAATACTCTGAGAATATATGTGGCGTTTCTTGTGGAGAATCTGAAGATCAATCAAGAATCAATCAGAATATTTGAAGAAAATACTGTTTCTAAATATGGAGATATTTTAGGAACTAGAAGATTGAAGACCTTGATTATAGGAGAAGTTTGCTGCTGAGTTGTAACAGCAAGGAGAAAAACTTGCTGAGTTAGGTAATAGGTTATAAATAGCAGATTGTAACCTAGGGTTTGAGAGAGACACATAATGTAACATTAGGGGTGTCCTGTTAGGTAAACCTGTCGGTCTGTGGCAAGGTTACCATGTAAGTAACTCGAAACCTGTAGGTAAGAGTTTGAGTGTTCTTAGATGAAGCTGTGAAGCAAGTCTAAGTATTTTCTGCATTACTTCATATTCATTGTAATGTAGGAAACCAAGTGGGAGGGCACTGCTTCTTGAGTAGGAGTAAGACTTCTGTTGTTGCGACAATAGGAATGGAAACTGGTAGGTTTCTATCTAGGAGTTCCTAGGTATAGGTTGCACTGGGTAGATGATTAAGTGAAGGATGGGAACTTGTGAAGTTTAGTCCTGAATTAATATTGCTAATAGTGGATCTTCTTCCTGGCTTGGTATGCCCCCAGAGTAGGTGTATTACACCGAACTGGGTCAACAACTGATTGGTGTTTTTACTTTCAATACTTTATAATTCTGTCTGTTATACAACAAGGTAAAACTGTAATGTTGTAACAGATGATGTCTCAGAACATGTTAAGACATCATGCTGATATCTGTGCAGAAGAAACAGAACTGCAAAGACTGTTTGCTCTCTGTAGATCGTGTGCCACAGATGAACAGAACTAGGCACATCGGTGTTCTATCCTCTGCACCTTCAGAATAGATTTGGCACAGCTTGGTTAAACTGAGCCTATGTTACTCTTCAGCATTGAATCATTGAAATTGGGTATCTACCTTGCAGTGTATTTATTATGTCATATCAGATGCTTGGACATTGAGTATAACATCTGAAGACTGGCATATACCAGAATTTCAATTGGTATCAGAGCAGGCATCCTGTTCTGTTTCTGGATGAGATCCATGGGTGATACTTTCTGGTATCTACAAGGTCAATTTTAGTACTGAAGATTGTAACCTGGAATGGTTTGCTATTTCCCTGAATGGTCCCTTGAAGTGGGAGGATGGACTATTCTTGACAGGAATTGTGTGTACCTGTCTCTGGTGATTGGCATTTGGCCTGGTTGTGTGATAGCTGCTCTAGGTTTGATTTATTTTCAAATTTAGGATGTGTGTACGCCTGAAGTTGTGTGTAGTAGTCATGCTAGGTTTGAACCATAATCAGACTTGGTCTATTTTTGAAGGCTAGTCTGGTGGAGTGTGTGTGCAAAGATTGGGGTGTATTATGTTCTTCCGCTGTGTAATACCTGGCAAAACTCAAGCTCTGATGTGTTTCCCCTCTTATGGATTGAAGGCCATTGTATTCAAGAATTCAACATAAACTATTGAAGATGTCACAGATACTTGAGTCCTCTCAAGTCCACTCATGAAGACGTTCTTCGTTCAGGATGGTAAGAATCACATAATCACGGATTAGTGTTATATGAAGACCTTGAAGAATTTCAAGGAGGGCCTTGTTCCAAGGTGATGTAACTGATGTTCTATGTGATGGTGGAACAAGGATGCAGCTACTAGTTGAAGAGCATATGTTTCGGGTGTCAAACAAAGGGATACCTTTGTTTGAAACCTACTCCTGACTTGGAAGAGGAGACATCTGCATGTGCAAAGTTGACAATGGTAAAGTCAACTATGTCTGTGTACACCCGAAGGTTACTTTAGGAGTCAGAACTCTAGAAGTAAAGCTGGTCAGGGCTGAGCAATTGTTTCCTGAAGTACTATGGTGTGAAGAAAGATAAGCTCACTGGTTAATAAAAGCCAATGATGGTGCAGCACTATTGCTCCTTCATAGAAGTAGATTGGGATCAAGAGTCTTGAATATGAAGACTCAGAGTTTGGTTAAAGTATAGCTCTTGGAGTTAAGTAGATCTGGTAAGGATGTCATATGTCATGTCGAGACGTTTGTGCACATGCATGGATATGTTGTGTGGAGCTTCCATGACTGATAGCTTGAGGGGGAGATTTGGTTAACCTCCTCACATTAGTTCAGCCTGGTGTTTAGCTAGCTGTTGACCTATGTCACATGGGTTCTGGTTGTTGTGTGACATATTTGCAAGGAAGGATTCATCTCTCTCATTCCTAATGATGAATCTGATCTGGTAGGAGTCTCAAGTCGGTTGAAGTAAGTAGAGTTTGTTCAGAGAAAATTCTATTTTCTTGAGTCAAGGGTGGCAACCTAGATATCTCAACTCTTTGGTCTCTCAAAGAAAGAGCTTGCAAGAAGAAGATATTAACACACGAAGAGCATGTCAAAGTATTCAAATGATGAAAGTATCTTACTGGATAATGGGAAGGATCTATGATCAATTGCTATTAGTGACAAGTACAAGTACTTAAATGATTATCCTTGGGGTTCAAGATAACTGATGTTCTTAAAGATGTGGGAACTTTCCTTCTTCTAGACCCTGTGAAGAATCACGGGAAGAGTGATACCTTAGATCTATCTCCTTGGTGACAACAAAAATCGTTTGATCCTTGAAAAGGTTTCCTGGAAACATGTTCAGACTTAAAGAAGAAGAAGACATCATGATCTTGATGATGGTCACTTGGATCAGTCTGGAGCTGAATTCAACAACTAGATGTTATAACATAATGCTGCGACATTTGGTTCAACATCAGATTCTTGCTTGGTGAAGTGGCTCATCAACTTAAGATAGGATGATCTACGAAGTTGAAGATTAGATCCTCCAAAAGGATCGTCTCTTTGCAGCTCTTTGGAGTTGTTACATGTTCCTGTCTCAGTGTATCTAAGCCTTTTGTGATAACTTGTAGCCTGAAGTTCAAATTTCAATTGGAAGATCAGAATATCTTTGGAAGAAGTCTGATAAACATGAAGGTGACATTTGATTCATGAAGGAGATAATCAAACAGTGGAATTTGGTCTATCTCAGCAGTGGATTCTGAGAATCAAGTTAATCAACATATGACAGCTGATTATTATCGAGAAAGTTTGATTCACAGTATGAATGCGTTCAAACAATATTATTGAACAGAGGGTGCGCTCTTGAAGACATGAAGATGCGTCTTATGTTTTCCATTCATCAAGGGGTCTTATTTACTTTAATCAGAAGCTGCATTGAAGGTCCAACTGAGTATTGAATGTGTCCTACTTGTTTTCATGAGGAGAAGTGATTGTCCCTAACAGGGGGAGTATTGGTTTGTACAAAAGGTCTTCGTCAAACTCGTAGGATATAAAGTGTGACACCTTATCAACTATTGGAATGATGTATTCAAAACTGAAGAAGACTATGTCTGACCGAATGTCATCACATTGGTAATGACTTTGCTCCTAATTTCCTCTAAAACTACAGACAGGAGGAAAATTGGATGAAGTATGGATTATTATCCACGTGTGTACAGTTGTATGACTCAGAGGGAGTAACCATCCTCTTTGAGAAAATGGTATGGCTTCAAGCTGCTAATCTGAAAATAGCAGAATGTATGACGACATAGGATTTGAGCATGTTTTCATCTGCTAAGAAAACAGAGCTGTTGTGTCTCATTATGAAACAGCTTAGTGAGCTGGAATGTTTAGGTGATAACTTGTCATCTAATAAAGGTATTATATAACTAATGCAGAGTGTAATATACCAACGATGTTTCTTGGAAAGGGGATCCTAAGACAAGGAAGTAGTCTGTTCTAAAAGACAAATGTCTGTTTTAAAAAAAAGGGCATCCTGACATGGTCAAAGGGTCAAACCCAAGGGTAGGTACCTGCATTAAAACCAGTCCTAGGGTACTGAAACTGCCAGAGTAAAGTACCAAGGTCGTTACTATCTATGCCAAAGTTGCATTATTTATGAAGACCCTCTCTATTCCTTCTCTTCATCAGAGGGTTTCAGCAATATGAAGTTTGTTAGCATCTGGGAAAATTGTGCATGGATATGGATCTGTATGGGCAGTCTTTGTCAAATTCTGGCCAAAAAGGGGGAGAAAGATAGGGACCCAGTCTCAGGCGAGACTCAGGTGAAAGCAACAGACGGCAATGTCCAGCAAGACTCAGGAGAAAGCAACATGATCCCTAAGTAAGTGACTTTGGTTGTGTCTTGTGTTCTGAGTTAAGAGGATAGTTGTGACTTGTGATCTGAGTTACATGATCACAAGTAATAATCTGGAGAAAAGAAATCCTCTTGGGGCATCGATGGAGTGGAGTTGCTCACAGTTGACGACAGAGGTTTGTTGTTTGCTCAAAGGACATCAGCCTCTACAAAAGAAGATGTTAGACAAGATGTTGTAACATCTCAACTGTGTTGTGGCCTGGTCCCAAAATACAACTTGCACTTATTTGTTTTAGCCAAAATTTGCCAAAGGGGGAGATTGTAAGTGCCCTGGCTGGAGAGTTGGCCTCATTTGTAAAACAAATAAGAAAGCAAGTTTACCCAGATCCCCTCTGTTGTTTTAATATGTGGTGTTGAAGAAGTTCAACATCTGGACCAACATGTTATGTAAGATGTCACAACATCAGCATGTGACATCGCGCCTGAAACTAAGTACTGATTAAGTAACTATGTTATATGTTGAATGTTTGTAACATCTGTGACTTATAACCTAACTATTCTAAGTGATCTAGGTTATTTGTTGTGTTGAAAAAGTTCAACATCTAGGAAAACATGTTAGATGTAATGTCATGACATCTGACTTGACATCACGACAACAGAATTGATAATTCAGTTACAGTTCTGGTACTTAAATACTCTGAGAATATATGTGGCGTTTCTTGTGGAGAAACTGAAGATCAATCAAGAATCAATCAGAATATTTGAAGAAAATACTGTTTCTAAATATGGAGATATTTTAGGAACTAGAAGATTGAAGACCTTGATTATAGGAGAAGTTTGCTGCTGAGTTGTAACAGCAAGGAGAAAAACTTGCTGAGTTAGGTAATAGGTTATAAATAGCAGATTGTAACCTAGGGTTTGAGAGAGACACATAATGTAACATTAGGGGTGTCCTGTTAGGTAAACCTGTCGGTCTGTGGCAAGGTTACCATGTAAGTAACTCGAAACCTGTAGGTAAGAGTTTGAGTGTTCTTAGATGAAGCTGTGAAGCAAGTCTAAGTATTTTCTGCATTACTTCATATTCATTGTAATGTAGGAAACCAAGTGGGAGGGCACTGCTTCTTGAGTAGGAGTAAGACTTCTGTTGTTGCGACAATAGGAATGGAAACTGGTAGGTTTCTATCTAGGAGTTCCTAGGTATAGGTTGCACTGGGTAGATGATTAAGTGAAGGATGGGAACTTGTGAAGTTTAGTCCTGAATTAATATTGCTAATAGTGGATCTTCTTCCTGGCTTGGTATGCCCCCAGAGTAGGTGTATTACACCGAACTGGGTCAACAACTGATTGGTGTTTTTACTTTCAATACTTTATAATTCTGTCTGTTATACAACAAGGTAAAACTGTAATGTTGTAACAGATGATGTCTCAGAACATGTTAAGACATCATGCTGATATCTGTGCAGAAGAAACAGAACTGCAAAGACTGTTTGCTCTCTGCAGATCGTGTGCCACAGATGAACAGAACTAGGCACATCGGTGTTCTATCCTCTGCACCTTCAGAATAGATTTGGCACAGCTTGGTTAAACTGAGCCTATGTTACTCTTCAGCATTGAATCATTGAAATTGGGTATCTACCTTGCAGTGTATTTATTATGTCATATCAGATGCTTGGACATTGAGTATAACATCTGAAGACTGGCATATACCAGAATTTCACTATATATAAAGGTACCAGTGTAGTTGTAATATTTGTGCCATCGGGAATTCGGGATATACAAGTGTTCTAAAGCTATCTGTCTTGGTAAATGGCATGCACTCTACTTGTTTATGATTTTTGTTTTTTGTTATAGACAGATCCAGACTATCTTGAGTTCCTCAAACTCATTGCAAAGCCTCAGGAACATCTTCCTAGTGCAGAAATACAACTGGAAAGAAAGGAAGCTGAGCAAGCTGGTTAGTTATTTGTTCACCAGCTTTATTTGATTCACACTTATGAAAGCAGTCTAATCACTACTCTACAGTAAATGTGTTTTGAAGGATCCAAAATAAGGTTTTAGGTTAAATGCATCTGTAGGCAAATTTCAGTACGATTCGTGTCTCATATTTTTTTCCTTTCTAGGGGCTAGCAAGGAAGCACCTATTGTAACACCCCTGATGGAATATGTTCGTCAGAAACGTGCTGTTGGCAGTGGTCCGCTGGTAAATGATTCTGGGCCTTCTAAGGGCTTTTTGTTTTTTCCTTTTCTTGCATGTTTTTGTGCTCCGGTAACATTTAGTTCAGAGCTTTTAGCTTTATTTATGTAAAAAAAGGCTTTGTAGTATTCATCTCCTTTCTGTTTTGTTTGTTTTGAGTCAGCCATTAGAAGTATAGTGAATAAAATGTTATATTATTTTGCTATGCGCATGCTTGATTGTAGAGAAATTTTAACATTTCATGTTTGGCGTCCTCTTACTAGATTTTTTCCTTAGGTGAGTTTTATTTCAATCAACGGTCTTAAAAATTGAAGATTTATAATAGTTATTTCTATAACGTTTAAGAAAGATGCTGAGATCTCTTAACAGTTATTGTTCACTTATATTATTGTGCCTTTGCATCATTATGGCTTTAATCTTCTCCTGTTGGGTGAAATTATTCTGGTATCATATATATGAAATTTATTAAATTACAAATAAATACAATTTAAGATGGTCTCCTATTTGGGTATATGCTGACATGCAATACTCCACATCATGTCTTAGGTTTCATCAGCAGCAACAAATGTTGGCAGAAGAGCCAGAGCTGCTTTGCAAGGCAAGCCTGGCCCAGTTAATACCAGACGAGCATCCGAAAAGAAAAGGGTAAGCCTTTATAATCAAGTGCATGTATAGTCGTATATATTTTTATACTGCTGAAGGTAATGTGTAATCATTAGACTAATTTTGAATGCCATGACTTGGTTGACTAAAAATTGCAACTTCTCTATTTACTTCCATTAACACAATAAATGCAAGAGAAACCATGATCTGTTATTGCCTCCTTTTTAGGCTCATAATCTTAATTTTGTGTGTAGCATTTTAATATTCAACTATTATTTATCTACCAAGTGGCTGAGAAATAATATTTTGCCATCTTATTGTTGCTTGGAAACCAAACTGTTTGTGAACTGTGAAATGGTTAGATATGTGTACAAGCATACATGTAGTTTTATCAATTAGCTTTTATAGTAATTGTTCAATATTTTGTCACATGGATATATTTTCATACATAACTATTTACTTTGTTGTTTTTACTACATTTATAGTTATCAATAGTGGAAAACAGTAATACATCAATATGGACTATGATTGATCGGGCCAATGAAATCTCTGCCCCTGCTCAAACTTACTTGTATTTTTTTTGAAGGAATTTTTGGTCTCCTAGACCTAAAGCATGCAGTGAGGCATTTTAGATTTAGCAGCCTATGTTCTTCATTGCACAGCTCATCGATATAGAGATACAGGGATTTCATAATCACAAGATTGTCTTCCCAAACAGAAAGTTCACATGGCCCACCCAAGATACAGCACATTCCAGTAGTCCACCTCTCATTCAGCAACATGCAATCTATATTTGTTATGCTTGCACTCTGTATTGGCATTTCTTAACAGCCAAACACATGTTTTGTCCAGCTTCTTGCTGGGTTACAGCTTATCTTTCATCCTTTTCTAGCCAAGCCCCACTTATTTCACAGCTTCTCCCGAGCTACAATTTGACTACTTTTTGAGTAGTTCTATAACTAAATATACAGAAATGCTCATATTGTATCAATGATCTTTGGTGTTGGGGATTGTGGCTGTTGTGCTGCATCCTAAGCTGTCAAATTTGTGTTTAGGTAGCAAATCTCTTCTTTCAATCATCAATACTTCTGATGTAAAAGTTGTAATATATTAGCTTGTTGTTGTTGAAAAGTTGTAATTTGATTGTAGAATTTAATTTTAATTGTAATGTTAAGATGTTGAAGACTATGTTAAGATAATTGTGATTGCATTTTCTTGAAGACAATGTAAAGAGACCTTATTTTAATTGTAATTTTTTTTTTGATTTTTGGTGCGGGTTTGGGTTTGGGTGAAAAAACCGAACACAACGGGTGCGGGCGCGGGTGTGATTTTGTCACCCGAATAGCCTTCGGGTTCGGGTTTGGGTGAAAAAACCCAAACCCAACGGGTGCGGGCGCGGGTGTGATTTTGTCACCCGAATAGCCTTCGGGTTCGGGTTCGGGTCCGGGTGATGATTTCGGGTGCGGGTGTGGGTAGTGTGAAACCCGCACCCGGCCCGACCCGTTGCCATCCCTAGGTCCGAGGAAATGTTTCGCGAGCAAGCCGACCTGCTGTCGGGGGAGAAGGAAAAGTCCACGAAGGCTGCCGAGGAGAGGGATTGCCTCCAACTTGACAAAGAACGGTTGGAGAGTGACAATGAACGTTTGTCCAAGGAAATCGATGAGCTAAAAGCTGCTATGTTTCTTGCTGACGACGAGCCAGAGGAGATAGCCTCTTTGCGAACCCGTTCAGATCTGGTTGCACGTATCCACCTTCTCGAGTCAGACTGTGTCGGTGCCCTAGCTGATGGGTTCGAGGCCGCGGTCAGCCAGCTCTCCGTCCTAAATCCGGGCATAAACACCGAGGGAGTCGGGTTAATGTCTCAGATTATTGATGGTCAGGTCGTGCCTCCTCCCGAGTCTCCTGGGGTAGATGCTGGTAGTCTTGGGGATGTTTAGCGTGAAGTTTTTGTTCGGGCCTGCGTGCCCGTGTATTTCTATGTTTTTGGGGCCTGCGTGCCCGTGATAATTCTTGATTTCTTTTGGCCGTTATGCCATGGTTTGTAACCTTGAACATCGCCGACCTTCTTGGTCGGTTCATTATTTTGTGCATGTTTTTTCAATGTTTATTTTGCTTTAACCTGCTCGTCTCTATGCTAATGTTTGACTGTCATTTTCGTGATGAATATTTTGCTTAAGTTTTGTTCTCGAGCGGAGATATCCTTTCGACCCCTTTGATGGCTCGACGCACTTCGAAATGCGTCGGTTATGTGGAGTGGAGCCCGCATGTCGAGTGTATGACCTAGATCAAGGTCCTATGCCCGCGGCGTGAACTGCCCATCGCGAGCTAGGTGTTCTTCCATGTGGGTACTTCAATAGTGGAACTCGATCGAGGTGTCCCTGTCGGGCGTTGTCGTTCGACTCGTTGGCTGAACGACGGTATGTCGTTTGGGTGTAGATTGGGCCCGTACCTCGACCCGTCTACGTGGTCGAGTCATTTCCCTTTGTTGACTAAAGGTGGATGTTCGACAGCGAAAGTCCACAGTGGTTGAGGGCTTTAGCTATAGTATTGTTTTAGCTTAGCAGCGTTCCAGGGTCGTGGTAACGGTTCTCCGTTTAGTTGCTCGAGGTAATATGCCCCGGTGCTTGTGGTGCCGTGAACGCGATAGGGTCCTTCCCAGTTCGCGGGAGTCTTTATGGTTTCTTTGTAATACCAGGCTGCCGATCTGGAACTCGCGTCTGATGACCTTGTCGTCATGACGCATGGGCTACTCGTTGTTTTAGAGCGGCCTCACGCAGGGCTGCCCCTGATCGAATTTCCTCGACCAGGTCGAGTTCGTCTCTAAGTGCTTCGTCGTTCATTTCCTCGTCGAGAGGCATTTCTGTCCGCCTGGAGGGTTCTCTGATCTCTACGGGGATGACGACCTCGGTGCTGTATGTTAGTCGAAAAGGGGTTTTGCCCGTCGTTGAATGGGGTGTGGTGCGATAAGCCCATAAGACACTGTGCAGCTCCTCGACCCACCCCCTTTTTGCTTCGCCGAGCCGGCGTTTGAGTCCTCGCAGGATGACCCTGTTGGCGGCCTCGGCTTGCCCGTTGGTTTGGGGATGCTCAACCGAGGTAAAATGTTGTTTGATTCCGAATTTGGCGACGAAGTTTCGGAACCCGTGGTCGGTGAATTGGGTATCGTTGTCTGTGATCAGCGCCTTCAGGATTCCAAATCTGGCGAGGATGTTTCGTTTGTAGAAACGGAGGATATTGTGCGAGGTGATCTTCGCAAGGGCCTCGGCCTCTATCCATTTCATGAAGTAATCCACGACCACAATAAGGAACTTGTTTTGGTACGTCCCTTGTACGAATGGTCTGAGGATATCCATCCCCCACCAGGCAAATGGCCACGGGGATGACAGTATGCTCAGCTCGTGAGGGGGAGCGAGATGCATGTCGGCGTGCTTCTGGAACTTGTCGCACTTCTTAACGTGATCTTTGGCGTCCTGCTGCATTGTCGGCCAATAGTACCCCGCTCGTAGAGCTTTCCTCGCCAGGGACTTACCGCCCATGTGTTGGGCGTTAATCCCTTCGTGTATTTCCCGTAATACCTCGGGGGCTGTGGATTCGTCGATGCACTTCAGGAGGGGAATGGAAAATCCCCTGCGGTACAGCTTGTGCTCAAGCACCACATAGGAGCACGCTCATCGTTTGGTTGTGGTCGCTTCTATCCGGTTCGAAGGGAGCTCGCCCTTTGTCAGAAAGTTGTACACCGGGGTCATCCAGCACGAAGCGTCTCCGATGGCGTGTACCTCGACGGGGGTCGAGGTTCTTTCGATGCTCGGGCGCGATAGGGATTCTTGTATGACGGATTTGTTCCTGCCCTTCTTTCTTGTGCTTGCAAGCTTCGAAAGTATGTCGGCCCTTGTGTTTTGCTCGCGCGGGATGTGCGATATTTCTGCTCGGTCGAACTTCCTCATGTGTTCTCTGACTAAGTTTAGGTATTCAATGAGGCTGTCGTTTTTAGCCTGGTAACTCCCTTGGACTTGGGAAGCAACGAGTTGAGAGTCCGTGAAAATTTGTACTTCGCGTGCCCTTAGGTCCTCGGCCAGCCTCAGTCCTGCGAGCAGGGCCTCGTACTCTGCTTGGTTGTTCGAAGTTGGGAAGGAGAGGGTTAACGAGTGCTTGATCACTACGCCCTCCTCATTTTCTAGGAGGATCCCCGCGCCGCTTCCGGATGAGCTGGAAGCTCCGTCGACGAAGATGGTCCACTTGTGCTCTTTCCCTGCGGGTGGGTTGTGAGCGGTCATTTCTGCGACAAAATCGGCCAGGGCTTGTGCCTTTAGGGCTTTCCTGCTCTCGTATTGGATGTCGAACTCGGAGAGCTCCAAGGACCACTTCAACATTCGACCCGCCATGTCAGGTCGACCTAAGAGCTGTTTTACTGGTTGGTCGGTTCGTACTATGATCGTGTGAGCCAGGAAATAGTGTCTGAGTCTCCTCGCCGCGTTGACGAGGGCTAAAGCTACTTTTTCTATCTGTTGGTATTTGCTCTCGGGCCCTTGTAGCGCTTTTCTCGTGAAATAAATGGGTTTTTGTCCGTCGGTGGTCTCGCGGATGAGAGCCGCGCTAATGGCTTTGTTCGAGACGGCCAAGTATAAGAATAAAGGTTCCCCGTCGACTGGTCGAGTCAGTACGGGTGATTGGTATATGCTTTGTTTTAGGTGGCGTAACGCCTGTTCACATTCCTCGGTCCATTCGAAGGCTGCCTCTTTACGAAGGAGTTTGAAGAAGGAGAGGGTGTGCTGAGCGGATCTCGCGACGAAGCGGGACAGCGAGGTGAGCATGCCATTCATGACTTGTATTGACTTTTTCGCCGTGGGTGTCAGGAGGTCGAAGAAGGCTCGACACTTGTCGGGATTGGCTTCAATTCCTCGTTCGGTCAGGTAAAAACCGAGGAATTTCCCTGCCTTAACCCCGAATGTGCACTTCTCGGGGTTGAACCTCATCTTACATTGTCTTGCTTGAGCAAAGACTGCTTTGAGGTGGGCTGCATGGTCGGTATCTGCTCGGGATTTAACGATCATGTCGTCCATGTAAACCTCGAGCATGTCCCCGATTTGGTTGTGGAACACTTTGTTCATCATATGTTGGTATGTCGCCCCTGCGTTCTTCAGACCAAAGGGCATTACGTTGTAGTAATACTTGCCCGAGCTGGTCATGAAAGCAGTGCAATGCTTGTCGCTTACGGCCATTGGGATTTGGTTATAGCCTGAATATGCATCCATGAACGACAATATTTTGTAACCGGTCGAGTTGTCGACCAGCGTGTTTATGTTTGGTAAAGGAAAAGCATCCTTCGGGCATGCCCGATTGAGGTCGGTATAATCAACACACATTCGCCATTTTCCATTATTCTTTTTTACTAATACAACGTTTGACAGCCAGGTTGAATACCGGACTTCAGAAATAAAATTTTTCTCTAAGAGGTCTTTTACAGCTTTTTCAGCAGCCTCTGTTTTCTCTGGAGACTGCCTATGTTGTACTACTGCCTTAGCGGCTGGATCTATGGCGAGACAGTGACAGGCAACCTCGGGGTCAAGTCCGGGCATCTCTGCGGCGCTCCACACGAACAAGTCAGCATTCTCGCGCAAGCAGACTTTGATCTGCTTCCTTGCCAGGTCGGTACCGATCTTCACTCCTTTGCTTGCGTCCTCTCCGAGGGAGACGAGCTCGAAGTCCCCGTCCGGAATTGGTCGGAGGGGGACTTGCTCGCCGCTGGGAGGCTCATCCTGGTCGAAGCGGGTGTTCAGGGCTACGGAGTCGACCTTTGGGGGAGCTCTCTGCTCTTCTGCCTTGATGGGCTCTGTCTTCTCGGGCTCTGGTTATGTCGTCGATGGTCTCTTGGCGGGCCTTGTCCCAGTGTCGACTGTGTCGCGTCCCTTGAATGCCGCGTTGAAACACCTTCGAGCAGCGGCCAGGTCCCCTTTGATGGTGGCGACACGTGCCCTCTTGGTGTAAAACTTCATCTTCAAGTGGACGGTAGAGGGTACCGCGGTCAGTTTTGCCAGTGTTGGTCTTCCCAGGATACAGTTGTAGAGGGACGGGCAGTCGATGACGAGGAAGCGCATCTTGACCTGCCTCGTCGTCGTGTCCTCGCCAAAGGTAACCATGAGCTCGACGTATCCCCAAGGTTTGGAGGTCGAGCCGTTGAAGCCCTGTAAGTTCGACCCCACATAAGGTGAGAGGTGCGAGTCGTCGAGCTGCAGGGTCCGGAATAGTTGACTGTACATCACGTCGACAGAACTTCCTTCGTCGACGAGAACGCGGTGTACGTCAAAATTAGACATTCTCGCTCTTATTAGCAGAGGAATGACCGCGTTGGGGGCTCCTCCGGGGAGCTCTTCGAGGTAAAAGGTGATAGGCTCCGACCTACCTTTCACCCTTTCAAAAGTCACCGTCTGAGGAGGTGCAGAGTCGACCAGTTCATCCAGCTTCCTCTTGGCCGAATTTATGGTTAGGTCGTTGAATCTTCCACCATTGATGACCATGGCGGAGGGAAAGTGCTCCCACCTGATGTGTGTTGACAACGGCTCTTGCAAGTGCTCGGGGACGTAGAAGTCCTCAGGTCTTGTGACGGAGAAGGCGGTCTGGATGGGGATCGACTCGTCAGATGGTCGGGCATCCTCCTCCGACTCTCTTGTCTCCCGGGCGTCGCGACGAGGAGCGTCGTTTCGCCGATATTAGGCAAGTCTCCCCCCTTTTATGAGGGTCTCGATGGCGTCCTTAAGGTGGACGCAATCCTCTATCAGATGACCATGGCTCCTATGGTATTGACAGTATTTGCTCTTGTCCACCCCGGGCTTGGCAGGAGCTGGTCGAGGGTGCTTGACGCCGCCATCTTTGAAATTCGTGCTGGCACACTCCGCCAAGATGCGCTCGCGGGAAGTCGTGAGCGGAGTGTATTCTGTGAAACGCCCCGAGGGTCCTCTCTGTTCTCGGACTTCTCGGGGTCTGTCATCCTTTCTTTTCTCCCCGGCTCGTCGAGGAGGAGCGGCCTCTTGGCGCGGGTTACTGCTGGATCTGCGAGTTCTGGGATCACGGGCTCTGTTGGTCGCTTCCCTTTCCTCGTAATCCATATAGGCCCTGGCCTTCTCGAGGAGAGCATCGAACGTTCGGGGCGGTTCGATGCCCACTTCTTTTCTGAACTCTGTGCCGGGGAGGAGTCCCCTCTCCAGCAGGTATCTTTTCATGTGGTCCGCGCAGGGGACCTGGATGGCTTCACGATTGAAGCGGTTGATGAATTCTCTCAAGTTTTCATCCTACCTCTAGATGATAGCCTCGAGCGCCACTTCGGTCTTTGGATGTCGCTGCGACGCGGTGAACGAGCTTATGAATTGGTTTTTCAAGTTCCTCCACGAGGTGATTGACCCCGGGGCAAGACCCTTGTACCAATCCATTGTTGCTTTCATGAGGGTTGTGGGGAACAACCAGCATTTGATGGGTTCCCCAACGTTATGGTAGTGCAACATAGCTTCGAACCCGTCTATATGATCGACTGGGTCGGCGACTCCGTCGTATTCCTTCAGGTGAGGGGGCTTCTCCATGCCCTGGAGGATTGGTGCCTCCATGATGGCTTATGATAGGGGACCGCGGGGGTCGTCCTCATCACTTCGTTCCAGGGAAAGGGACGGGGACCTGAGGTATTGTCGGACACGACGGTCCTGATCGTGTTGGACGTCCCTTGAGTGATGCGCTCGTTGATCCGCCCTTCCATGCCTGTCCCCAGGATGTCTTCGTTCTTACCGCAAAGGGATGTGGTTGCGCCCTCCGGCTTCAATGACTGGTTCCCTATCCAAGGGGGGTCGTCTCCCCGATTGTCGGGGTGACGGGCTTCGGGAGGTGTCTCTGTATTATCTCTGCGGGGGAGACGGGAGACGTACCTCTGTTCTTCGAGGAGGTGGGGTCTGAGGCCTCCTGTGTCTCCTCGGGGGTCTTCTGTCGTCCTCTAGCGCCCTCAATCTTTCCCCTTGGGCAAAGATGAGGTAATTGGTCTGGTTGATTGCCGCGAACAGTGCTCTGGTCGTGGCGTCCGCCCCTGCGGGGACAAGGACCTCCTGGAATTGGGCGACCAGATGGTTTGGGGGAGTTGTATTGTCTTCTTCGAGCAGAGGGGGGACCGAAGAAGATGAGGCAGTGGCTCCGTCCCGGTGGCCTAAGGGCCCGAGGATGACACCCTCGGGGAGTATATTATGACCGGTGTTACCGGCGTTGTCGGGGGCTCCGTTCTTGTCCGCGAGGTTGTTGTTAGCATCGACGATGCGGACGTTCTGGTCATCATGAATTTGGTCAGCCATGACGGTAGAAGGTGATTTTTAGCTTTGGTCTTTGAGAGTTTGTAAGACGGAGAAGTTAGTTTCCCACAGACGGCGCCACTGATCTTACCGGATCAGACTTGGACCGTCACAGCTGGCTCGATCTGGATTTGAATGAGATGGGATGGGGGTACCTGCAAGACACTCTGATGCTAAAATGAGAGACGGAATGGGCAGGCAAAAAATGTATAGGCGTGTGATAGACGAATACCTGACCCTCTTGGAACAGATGGTATTTATAGCTCCCAGCGCTGGGCCAAGGTCTCTTCATTGGGCTGACCAGAACTGGCCCAATAAAGGAACTGTCAGGTTCTACGTGTGTAGTAGGGACTCGCGCGTGGTCCCCTTCTTGGGTGGTGTTTTGCGAAGAATGAGGAAGGACGAAGACGCGGTCTTTCCGGAGCTTTGAGGATTCCATAGCAGTCATAGTGGGACAGAATCTGCCCTACGGGGAGGGTGCTCGAGCTGGACTCGAGCTGGAGCTCCCTTGGTCGAGGGCGACGGCGGGCATTGCAGCTGTAGTCTGTGGTCGGGCACGTTCGGTGATGGTCAGATTGTGTGCATTCCCCGGGGAGATGCTTGGATCTGGACCTTTATTTGTACTTTGGGCCAAGGTGGGTCCAGTCCAGAACACAAACGAATATTTAGAATAATCTAACTTACGTATCAACCATCTTCTTCATATATGAGTATTTTGTCCAATCACCTTCTAACGAATCCAGATAATATACAATTTCTCTTATAGGATTAATCGCAACCAGCAACCAGTGTCCACTGTAAGATTAACAAAGGTTAGATGGAAACTTTCTACACAGTATATACTTCATGATTCAATACTTCTTTTGGCCTAAACTTTCAAAGAACACCTCAAGCTTTCTATGCCATACAAGACAATGCAAAGTTCGTTTGACCAAGTTTCTTCAAAATTACAAGAGAAAAATGAAGCTTTCATACAAATTTTCAATCATGTCCAAAAGTTTCAATTGTCTTAAAGCGTAATTTGGACTGTCATATTTCTTCACGACATTCTAAATTTCTATGCCTCGGCTTGCTTTCTTTGTCAAGCTTTCAATACATGCCCATTGCAACGATTCTTAAATACATAAAAGAAAAAAGAGACATTAGTATGCACACATTTAATTCAAAAACACTCCATCAAAACAAAGAAGAAGATGTGACTATGTTTTTGCAAGTCCAACAGAATTTCACAATTGCAATTGCTCAAGTCAGGCCCAAGGTTTAACATCACCGAAATATTGCAAACAAAATAGATATTTGAACCCAAGGCAAGGGATTTTCGCTGAAGCAAAATTTGAACATTCCATTTCTCTTTTTTTTCAGCCCAATCATTCTCACACAAAGCCCTAATCTAAAGCACTATATAAAATTTAATCTGACGCTGATTCAAGAGGATATTCACTTACAACTCTGAACAATCAGAAAAAATATATACTCACTTGATCGGATTTTGCGAACCTTCACCGGAAACTCCTCAACCGCCCAGAATCTTCTAACCGTCGCCAGAAAATCTCACATCGTCGAAACCGCTCTAGACACCTTCCAATTTCCACCCTTAACTGCCGCTGGAACTCTCTGTTTCGCCGAAAAACCTCCGTAACCACTGTTTAGACCCTTCTTCTTCTCTTATAAGGTTGCTTCTCTCTTTCTGAAACTGAATTCCACCTTAATTTCATATTTATGTGTTGATATTTGTGGTTGGGACTCAAAGATTCTTGAAACTTCTTTTTTAGATTTTGAAAAACTTTTTGATTTTCTGAGAAAACTAAGCTTGGATTCGAAAATAAGAGAGAAAATCGAACAAGAAAATGTAAAAAAAAATTGTAGCAGATACTGTTCGCGGCGCCGCCGCCGTGGAACTGGCCGGTCGCTACCCTCTGCTCTTTTCGTCCGTCCTCATGCATCTCTATCTTTTATTCTATTTTTTCTCTTCTCTATTTTAACAATGATGATAATGATAAGTTAAAGAGAGAAGGGAGACTTTTTCTTTAAAAAATAATATAATGATGTTGTTTTCAACGTGAAAACAATAATGAGAAAGAGAGAGAGGAAAATTTGGGGAATTTGAACAAGTTTTAAATTAGTGGTTTCATCCAAAATTCTTTCCGCCTATTTTCCTCGTGATCCACGTCAGACCTCCATTAGAGGACAAGTGGTTCCTCTGCCACTTGTCCTCATCTGAGAAGATGAATGAATTTGTGAGTCTCTGCACGCACACTTTTTGCTGATTTTAATTAGTTTATCAAAAAAAATTGTAAAAATATTTGAGATCACTTCTGACTTTTCTATGGTCTATTATAATTTTTATTTGACATTTTGAATATAATTTACTATTTTTCCTTTTATTTTAAAAACAATATAAAAATCATTTTCTCATTATATTTTGCTTATTAAATACAATTTTATTTTTGTATATATTTTGGCTGATCATATGAAGGTTAGTCATAAGCTTCATTAACATCATTGGATCTTGGATGTTGAGTTTAACTCCACCAAAATGAATGAATGATTTTAATAATATCATTGGATCTTGGATGTTGAGTTTAACTCCACCAAAATGAATGAATGATTTTAATAATAGCTTGATTAATCCATTGGTTCAAATGTGGGATTTAACTCTTTGTTTATCTCTACTTTGTTCCCTTTTTCCCTCTTCATCTTATCCCTTTCTTATTTCCTTTTTAAATGATCACTAGTGGCCCAAGCTTGAGGCTGGAAATTGTCCAATTATGATTGATTATTGAACCATAATTCAAGACCTTCTAATCTTGTTGTTAGGAAGCTTTGATTTTATCAATCCTCTAACAAGTTTTCATTAACTTTGACATAAGCTCAATCTTCTATCATCATTAATCAATTATTATGGAATTCATCTCTTCTTGATCTCCTTTCTTCTTTATTTTTGTTTTTACTTGTGCTACATGTTTTAGGAGCTTGATTTCTACCATGTCTCTAACATGTATGGTACAAATATTGCTATTTATTGGTCTCAAAATATATGCGACTTCTACATAAGTTCACTTATGATTGCTTAACATAGTGCTAAATTTGTCCCGATTTAGAAAATGATCATTCGTGGCCCAAACTTTATGTTTGTAATCCCAAGTATGGTGGATTGGTTATCTTTAGTCTAATACCTATGAAACTTATTGTTAGGAGACTTTGATTTTATCAATCCTCTAATGAGTTTTCATTATCCTTGGTCTAAGATCTTCATTCAATCATCGTTGATCATATTTTGTGACTATTACCAATTACTTTAATAACCATTAAAAATTAACTTTACTTTATGTCTTTATCTTTATGTCTTTTACTTTATGCTTTTATTTTTTATGCGCCTTTATCTTTTAGCATTTACACTTCATGCAACTTGTTTATGATTCCGCGTTTTTCTCTTTGTCCACTTTGACACATGTTTATGTTTATGCACTTTTTCCTTTGTCCACTTAGACTCTTATTTTGTTTTTAACTCATTAATAATCCAACTTGAACATTAAAAGACTTAAGGCTCTTTATGGACTATTGGTTACTATCATTGGCATATTGGAGTTGTGGACCTCTTGGACTTAAGATTAGAAGCCTTGACACTTTGAGACCTATGGACCTTGTGTTATTTCATTGTCATTTTGCTTGTATTGGGAAATCTTCTATGTACAAGTGTTATTATGTTGGCCTTAAGTAATCTATATGGCACATGGCTCAATATTAAAGACCTTGTTTTGGGTTTTAAAACCTTGGGGTTTCTTTGATACTTCTTCGCTTGCGGTTTATGTTCACATGGCTGATTTGTATGCTCTTGGTCTATTTGGTACTTGTGGCTTTTAATTCAAAGGATGAGAATTCTACATTGACTTCATAATGTCAAATTTTGGCTTCTTGTTCGGTTATACATTTCTTTACCTTAGCTTTTACTTTGTGATTTAGGATAATCTCTTCATCTCCTCGCATCTTCTTTAATTTCAAAAATATCCCCCCTCTTTTTCAAAGGATTTTTGTTTTCTAACTTGAACTACGTTCATAATAAACTTGGACTTAGGTCCATGCATTTTCAAAAACCTTTTTTTCTTAATCAAATTCTAATCAATTTAATCATACTTTGACATCTTTTTTGGTAGACTAAAAGTCATTAACCTCGTTCAAATTTTTACCTCTTTGGCTTTTCTCTTTAAAACCTTTTTTTTTAAAATTAACCAAGACACAAACTTTTCAAAAAAAATTAGGAGAACTACGAGTGCTATGATCCCCTATTGCACGAAAGGTGGTACGTAGGCACAAAATATTCGTAATCATGGAGAGTATAAAAATTGTAAAAACCACTTCTTTTCTCATCTCCACAATCTCATTTTGTAAATATTTCTTTTATAGCCAAAATACACAGATTTTCAAAGAGGTTCATGCGGAGTACCGTAGACGTTTAGGGTGTTAATACTTTCTCTTTTCATAACCAACCTCATTACCTTTATCTCTTTCTCATTTGATTTTTATTTGTTTTTTTCCTATTTCTCTGAATAAAATAAAGTACGGTGACGACTTTAACTGATTTGTGAGTTTAGTCAATCTAATAACTTAGTCTCAACATTTCTACCGCTACATTAGTGAATTGGATGAAAAATTTTATTTTTCCTTTGTCCTTGTAAGTTTAGAGTGTGCCTATGGGGGGGGGGGGGGGGGGGGGGGGGGGGAATTAGGCCTTTAAAATTTTATCCGGTTTTAGAAACAAGTTGTTCTTATTTTTGGTTTGGTGTTTAAGTGTTTAGAAATGTGTCTTTCTTTTCTAGTTATGATTTAAAATGAAAGCGATAAATGCGGAAAAGTAAAAAACGCAAGGATGTATCCTGGTTCCCCTCACAGTCCGAGAGTACTCCAGTCCCCTTTCAACATGAAAGAGATTTTACTATTGTTAGATCTTTGTACAAGCTTTATACCAAGACTTGCCCTACAATCTTCTAACAACAACACCACCAAGAACAATCCACTTGGATCAACCAAGTTGAAATAAGAACAATCATCTCAATTTCAACCTCTTGCTTCCAACAATGTTGGATAGCAAGGAACAAACCAAACAAGTAGAACAAGAAAACAATTCTTTCCTTTCTACTCTCTTGTTTTCAACAATTTTGAACAACAAGGAATTTACAACCAAATCTGGAAAAAAATTAAGTAAAAAATTGATGAATATATATCAATAATAATGATTGATCTTCTCTTTCAAACAAACAATTTATAACGATAATATAGTGCTCAAGTATTTATGAATGAGAGAAGAATTTTTCTGAAATGATATGAAGAACGCATGAAAAAAAATCTCAATAAAAGTTTGATGTATCAAAATACTTGATTTCTAAAATGAATGAATATAATGATGTTAATTGCAATGGAAGAGGTGAATTTTAATTTGAAATTTCATGTATTTATATGAGCATAATACCTTTATAAAGCACAATGAAGTCATGGAAAAATATCATGAACAAATGTCAAGTTAAAATGAAAAGGTTTCATGAAGAGATGCATGAAAAGGTGTTAAAAAAATTGTTGTTTTTTCAAATTCGTACATAATTATTAACTCGTTTAAAACGATCACTTGACTTAACAAGTTCGCAACATTTTTCAAATTTCAAATTTAAAAATACTGTTTCAGAACGTTGTAAATTGTGGCGGTTTTTGTGCTGATACGGCAGATCAAAATGCCACAATTTACCAAAAACCGAATGTTTGAAAAAAAATTGTCTAAATATTTGAACCAACATTATGCAACATCTATTGATTTATCCAAGTAAATAGATCATATTTTAAAGTGATTTAACATGGTTCAAACATGAAAAATATTATATTTGAAAGTGATTTAACATGGTTCAAACATGAAAAATATTATATTTGAAAGTGATTTAACATGGTTCAAACATGAAAAATAAATTTTCAAATACATGATAAAAAATATTTTGAGCACTAAGTAATCAATATAATATGCATGCTTGTACCTCTATTATAAAAATCAATCATGACCATGATACTAGCCTTCAAAAAGATAAATCTTGAACACTTTGATTCTATATTTTGACATTGAAAGCTTTTTCCATTCTTTTATCATTCATTTGATTATCACTTTATCTTCATCAAAATAAAATAGATGAAGCGTCTTGATTTCACAGTCCTAAGACCGCACCCACTGTATAATCACTTGCATCACATGTGAGTTCAAAATCAAGTGTCCAATTGGGTACAATGATTATGGCTGAACTAATCAAATTTTCTCTTAAATTTTCAAAAGCAAGTAAACAATCATTATCAAAAGTAAACTAGTGGGCTACCCGTGTGTCCTCACAGATACTAATCGGGTACACACATATTTGTTTTTAAAATATATTAAAAATGATGGTTTTTACTAAAATTATTTATTATTTTTAAAAGAAATACATATTTTTAAAATAAACACAAATATATTTTATTAAAAGTTTTTTACATCAATAATATATATTTTAATTTTCTATATTATCTTTAAAAATATTGTATCTTAAATAAAAAATAATTTCAAAATAAAAATATTAAAAACATAAATAATTTATAAACAACTCATTTTTTCTGTGTTTGAATTCATATATTATTTATATTTTTTGTAATTATACAAAAAATATAATAACACGCAGGTTCACACAAATTCTAATATAATTACCTTTGCATTTATATGACACTTATGTGTTACTCGTACATTCGCACAGATGCTAATGTCGTACACACACTTGTGTTTTTAAAATATAAAAAAGATTATAAATTATAAAAAAAAACAAATTTGTTTTACCAAAGTAGCTTGTTATTTTTAAAATAAAGTAACATTTATAAAATTAAAATGAAATTATTTTACCAAAATTGTTTTACATCAATAATATATATTTCAATTCTTTAAATA